ACACAAATGCATGAATTTGCTTTTGTAATTTTTCGGACCCCGTGGTATTTGTGAATTGTGGCCCTGTCATGTGTGCTGGGGGTCTTATTCAAACTATTTGGGCTGCCTGTATTAGCCTAGGCACTGGAGCAGATCAAGTTAATCTGTATTAGCAAAGGAGATGTGCTTTGAAGTGCTCAGTCAATTGTTTTGTTGTGGTTTGTCCTTAGCAAAGAGAAATGTGTGAGGGAGAAGCGAGATATATGAGATCATGCTAAGCCTTCCATTTCTGCACAATATTTTCGTAGAAAACATTAGGAAATAACTTGCTGCTGTGGGGGCAAAGGCAATGGCTCCCATTCTGCTACGAGAGAGCAATGCGTGAAGCTTCTTCAGTGCCTGCCTGCTGCTGTGTTTGCGCCTCACTGGCTCACTTTTGCATTTGGGCGGAATGGTTTTACATATAAAGAAACCACATAGCCAAATAAAAACTGGTCCTGCTCTGCGCTTGCCGTCTTGGCCCAATTTCCCTCCTACCTATTTAATTTAATTCAACTTCAATTCTTGAGATGCACTAATCTCAACCATTCAATCAATATCCCCACTTGAATTCACTTTAATGGATGGCTTGGATTTGCACACTAATTGTAGTAATAGCAGAGGACTTGAAAACATTTAATTTCATCTTTAGGTACATGCAACTGACCCAATTTAGGGCTAAATAGGGTGAGTAGTTCTAGTATATTGTTGAGTAATAAAAGGTAGGTATAGGAGTTTTGGTACGTTAATAAATAAAATGGTTTTATAATCCATTTTGCACTTGTATACTGAGTTTTGGTATGATATGGTTGATAAAAGTGTACATTTTATTAATGATTACAAAGAAGAAGTTCACGTTAATCCATGTCACACTTATTTAGTTCAATCAATTATCAAAATCTAACATAGATTAGTATGATCTTTTCCTTTGTAGCAATGTATAAAACACCTACACCCAATTTTTTAATTTTTTATTTTAGTATAAGTAATTGTCTATGCTAAAGGGGATATGAATTTCTCATACACACATAACTATAATGTCATGGGGATTCAAGCCCAAAGGTTATGGAAGACACTATCCCTGAGATTGTCGGTAAAAAGGGTTCTGGTAGCAGCTACAAAAAAATGAGACCTCTGAAGTATGAGGAGGAGACGGGCAGTGTATGAGTAGTGTATGTTGAAAGATCACCGGTGTAAATTTTGTTGGGAGGTTTTGCCTTGTGTGGAAATGATGTCTGTTTGTCTGTACTGATATCATGTTGGAATTTTGATGCTCCAGCCGCACTTGTGTTCTTTGTATTTCTATTTGTTCACTTCACTAACGAAGACGATTTGAGGAGAGCCGCAATGTTATTCACATAGATTGAACTTGGGTCGATTTCGGAAAAATGATACTTGTAGAGAGTTGCATTGGTTGAATTTCCATCGTATTTTTTGTTTTCTTTGGTAATTGGTTTTAAGCATATTTCATTTCACAAACCCTTTGAGTAGGGGAGGGGTTGCAAGGAAACAATATATTCAAGTGAAGTCATTACAATGGTGACATGACATGGTTTGTCCAACTGATACATATACATCCTGTGTTTTTGAAGGAAAAGGAACAGAAATCTACGGAAAATATAATATTGTTGTATGGCTTTCCTCCAACTTGTATTGAACTATATACATGATAAATCAAAATCATCTTGAAATACAACATGTGCACATGTAACCACTATGCCATGCAAAGCTATGCTAAAAATGTTGAGCTCTGTGCATATCCTTATCAATGTTTTCAAAGGCGAGGCGTATAGGCGAGGCGTTTTTAGTAGCGTTATGCGAGGCGTAAGCCTTGAAGCGTTGAGGCGTAAGCATTTTGAACATTAATTTATTTTAATAAGAAAAATTTATGAATAATACAATACGATTAAATTGTACAACTAATTCTTATTCAACCATAACAATCTTTTAAATATAAGCAAATATAAGTACTAATTGTCATTCAAAGCATAATAATCAATCCCAAAACATAAAATATTTATTCAATATCAAAACAAAAATATAATTCACTCATCCCACTCCTCAACACTGATATCATTCAAACTAGCATCACTATCATATTGATCAACTGTATCAATATGAAAAG